CATTAGCCATTTAGCTGACTTCAGGCTTCACAGAGGGAAGGTTAATCAAAGTAGAAGAAAGTCGAGGGGTGGGGGCACAGAAGAGCGATTCACAGATGTAAAAGAGGCAGACAGACACAAAGGTAGAGAAAAAGGTAAGATGTGTACTGTGAAGGGGTCGAATATGGCAAGCAATCGGGCCATGGTAGTTTGAAGTGAGAAGTCAACTGCCGGTTAATAGACTTTTTCGCCGTATGAGTATACGTTGCCAAGGGTGTACCACGTGGAGGTAAGTCTATTGCACACCCCTGGATGGAATCATTGTTATGCTGTTCGACGTCTTCGGTTGCTGTAGCGGCGTTTTGGGTGGCGAACAGAGTTTTGGTGGTGTGAGGAGGCGCAGTGTGGTGTGATGTGATGGCGGCATGCTGGAACCTCTCTTGGTCTGTCGTATGCATGGGGAGGGGAGACTGGATAGAATGTGTGAATCAGGTCCTGGACATTTGAGTTGGAAGGAAAAGGGTATGGGATGAGATGCTGTGGCTGCTGGAGAATAATGACGGAGTGGATGATGTTGACTTCAAGAGCGCCACTGCGCATGTTGGTGGGAACGCAGAATACTAGGAAGTGGACGAAGTTGTGGAGGAGAATGAGGAGGTGGAAGTGGGCACAGTGAGGAATCAGGTCTATTGACTGTCCCCTACTCACTCAGCCCCACTATACTAGGAAATGGCCCGGCACGGCGCCACTGCATCACAGTCCCCTGCTTTCAGCTCAACTGTCCAGGACTTGGTTCACAGATTCCAGTCTTCCTTTAAATTGTGCCTGTGTATATGTGTGGGTCCACTCCAACATTTCCTTAATTTTGTCTTGTTATATTATGGAATTTTCACTTATGAGAAGACCAGTGCAAACACCAGAGGGTCAAATGTGTTCAAGAATTTAAACTCCGTAAAGTTGAAGTGTCTTGTAATAAGAAACTAATTTTACTATGAAGATTAAAGTCAGCGGCTTCTTGGCATTTTGTGCCGTAAACAAGCACATCCTTCATGACACTTTTTCTCCATCAGACTAGTTTCAACATAATTTATAAGTATTTCAAGTAAATTTACTTTCCGATTCTTGTTGATTGATCACAAGGCATCAGAATTTACCAGTTTTGCTAATCACCTGATTATTTCAGTCAAGAAAGTTTTGAAATTTCATCTCCTCTTTTGTTCTTCAGAATTCATGCAATTGCAAAGCCAATTTTATCCAAATCAGTTTTCTCACATGCCACTTTATTGTTTAAATATCGACGGCTTGTGTCAACTTCATTTGCTAGGTATACCTTTCTTCTAGATGTGCCCTCACGATGTGAAGCTCGCATCAAGTACTCCTCTCTGTTTCTATTAATACATGCCACACAAAATCCCGATTGACATATTTATTCTCATGAGTTGGTGTTTCCTTCGCCTTTTATAAATTCTAACCACGAAACTTCGACTACTACGTGATATGTTTTTAAAAAGATGAAGATGTATTCGAGGATGTGATGTGTTTACAAAGCCTGTAATTAACATAAATGCAGTTGCCATAAGTCGAAAATGCTGTAACCTTAACTAAAAATGTTTACGAAAATGTGATTTGGAGAAGACGCATATCATTCTAGAGGTGATCGAAACTGCGCTTGTCTTAAGGAAGTCCTATTTGGTTAGAGGTCAGGCTTTGAGGTCGGATAGCTGAGGGATACAAGAGCATGCTTACTTACATACTTAAAAATATGTTGGTTCAATTGAGATTAGGCAGCATTTCAAAACCCGTTCATTGCACAAAGGGAGACCATGTATGTAAGGAGTATATTCTTTGAAAGTATTAATAAATTATAGAATTTTAGCCTTAGGTAATGAGAGCGCCGTTCAAAATGCTCTGACTGTCGAAAAAGTTGGTTTCAATTTGAGCAAATTTAGAAACTGGTTGGGGTTGACACTCCACTCTGTAGGATAATGGATCATGCCAATAAATGAAACGAAGTAAGTTAAACTTTCTTACTACCACAAATCGATTCTTGAAATAAAGGCTCACTTAGTTTTCTACTTGAAAGCGCCAATCTCTGATCTTATGTATTGATTGCATTTAACAAGAACAAATCAATCTCAGGTAGCAAATAAAAGGAAAATCGTGTTGAACGAAGTTTACCTTGAGATTAATGGTCGTCATTATGATGAAAAGTCATAAATAAATGAAGACAACTATTTGTGATAGGTTTGAAATTGGACACATAGCGCATTGCTTAAAAGTACCTAGTCGAAGGTGAAATGTGAACAAAACAATGGCAAATTTTCCGCCCCTTTGATTCAACCCCTCCCCTCCTCGACCCTCCCTCACCCCCTTAGAAGAATGCAGTCTAACTACAGTTCCTTTTAATTCATATATTTTGAAGATTTATTCAGTATAAAGTAGATGCATAAAGTAGAATCAAATTTTCTACTAGTTTGTCTCTTATCACCTAACTAATCGTTTACCACATTGAACACGAATACTTCGAAAACGACTTCTCCATGGGAGCCATCGTTTTCAATTGAGATTCTTGAAAACTTTATAAATATCGAGAGTTTCTCTCTGGTTAAAAGAGACAGACTAAGAAGTTTGTGGAAACGACTGATACATCAGAACTCACTAAGACCAATCAACCCCAAGAAGGAAAAGAATCAGTAAATACCATAAGTGTGTTATCATCATTATTATCTATTAACTTTATGCAATTATGAATGATATATCTTTGCGAAACAGTTCATAGAATGTCGGAGAAATTTTGAATTTGGAAAAATTGGCATAATTTTATAAATTCCCTCTTGTAACCGGGTGAATTTGGTACGATCAAGAAGTGATGAATAAAAGGCAGTGTCATTGGGCTAATGGGTGACAATTTACCGAGATCGATAAGGGAATAAATAATGTTTACATGAGTTGAGTCCAGTTCCAGTCTCAGCTGAACTTGCACTGATCTCGAGAATTATTTCCACAATGATTTGTAACGGAGAAATAAAAGGAATCTCCGCATTTTACCAAAAAGGTTGTGGTAGCGTTTACACTAGGGCATATTTAGCAGTCTCACTTACCCATTGATTGTTCTATAATAGAAAAGAAGTGACCGTATATCCCAGAACAACCCACTCCAAATCATGTTTCAGCATACACATGGCGTCAGTATGAGTCATTTGGAACAAGACGGCAACTATTGGCACAGAAGAGGCCAATTGTATCAGCATTCTAGTAGATCTTGTCCAATTATGGCGCTCTGGCCGACTTATTATGTTAAGCTAACGGATCGGTCTCTGCATACTATGCCTAATTTAATTGTAACGCAACCAGCTCACCATTTGCTTTAATCGATAGACTTACATTCCCGTGGTGCACCCTGGGCAACGTATACTCATACGGCAAAAAATTCTATTAACCGGCAGTTGGCTTCTGACTTCTCTCTACCATGACCCGACTGCATGTCATATGCCACCATTTTCACAGTACTAACCTTACCATTTTTCTACCTTTGTGTCTGTCTCCTTTGTATCTGCGAATCACAATTCTGTTCCTCCCCCTCTCGAATTTTTTTCACTTTGATGTTCCGCCTCCTCTGTGAAGCCTTAAGTCAACTAAAGGGCTAATAATAACTATCAAAACGTCTGCCATTTGATATAAATAAATAAAACTTTAATCGCATCAAATACAAGCCTGCTTAGTAAGTTAAATTTATGTGCGTATTAAAAAAGTGACGCCAATGAATTGGATGAAAACTAAGCTTAAGAAGGGTAAGTGCTCAATAGTGGCAAAGTACTCGAAACATAAAGTTGCAGGGAAAGTGCCCAAATGCCCAATAAATTTGTGGTGCACGCAACTTTGTCTTGGCTGAACAAAGAAATGCCATGCGCACTTAGACTCGAAGTTGCGTATGGCGCAAGTGCGATCATATGTGCAGAGACTTCTTAGCCAGACACCAATCAGTGGTCCCTTCACCGCCTAACAAACTCTTCACTGTGACAAATAAGCGAATTTCATGTCATACGTCTGTTTCCTCTATGCCATTAAGGAAGAGTAGCTAACTCGGGAATCACCCGAACTAGAAGAATTTGATATAGGGATTACTGAGCAAAAGTCAATGGTTTATGGAGTAGCAATCCACTACGAATTCAATTCCTGTCCCTGAATGAATAAAATTACTTTTGGTTTCAGATAAATGAAAAAATTAGAGTCTCGACCTAAGAAATTGTTATTTAATTAGATGAAACACAAACATTTTTTTGACTCTAACATTGTGTAGATCTTTTGTACAGTCCTATAGGTTCACTGCGAGCTGCAGGCTGAATTGAAATAATAAAATGAGAATCATTATTGCGTAAATTTAAAATGCCAATATACAGACTTCATTTTCACCTGCTTTAGCAATGCAGCTCACGCAATATTTTAAGCCCTAAAATGTGAGGTAAAATGGAGAGAGCTCATTTAAGATGATCAAGAATTTCGGCAAAGAAATCATGTACTCCAAATACTGCTTAGAACCAAGAAGTTGAAATGATTCAATCATTGTGAAACGAAGCTTTATAATTTTTGCTTGAGTTGGTCATTCTGAGTTTGCTGTGAAGTTTGTTAGTGCTTGAAGAAATCATTCTTCTATTATTCAAGAATACTTAAATGCAAAATAATAGCATTGTTTGTAAATTGCTCTCCGATGCTACTGTAGCGGTTGCTACTTTATTAAAGCCTTGACTTAAATCTCAGAAACCTCGGTGATAGATTCTCCTAATTAACGAGTCTTTAGAAGAAAGAGACCTATCACTGAAACGTTTATGCACTAGATACCGATAGCGAATTGTGCTCAAAATGAAAAACTACTCATACAAAATGGCCGAATTAAAAAAACGCAGGCTTTCTATTAGTCATTGGCTGCGCTTCTCTGCAACCAATCCGTGTGCGAGGTTGCACGTCCGCATCTTAAGCCTAGTGTGCGCGCCTGCGATGAAGTGTCCCACAATACTCCCTCTCTAGAGCGTTTGTAGGAACCTAAAAGGAGAAAGGAAACGCTCGACGTACTGAATGTACATAGTCGGCCAGCTGGGAAGGGAAGGTAACTTTTCGGAAGAAACGAATGTAATAAGGTTCAGGTTGAAGAGGGACGGAAGGGGAACTACAGAGTCCGAAGTGTCTTCAGGTAGAGATTGCAGTGGGGGGGGGGGCGAAGGTGATATAGGACCTTCGGCTGTTGGGGTTGTAGGACCGGACGGGAGGCTCCTAACTGCGGGATTTAGTATAGGGCACTCCAGTTAAGCCGGCTTTAAACGATCGATACTGACTGAGTGCTTGGTGCCTTTGCGGTCAAAATTGAAATATTTTGGTTTGCGTTTGAGGACTTTGTAAGGACCTTCGTACGGTGGTTGTAGGGGTCTTTTCACTGAATCCACTCAAACAAAAACGAAGAGACTTTTAGACAAATCGTTATGGATGTAGACGGGCATGGTATTCAAACGGGTTGGTGTTGGACGGACGGCTCGGAAATGGTCTTTTAATCGGTCGAAATAGGAAAATGGGTCTACAGGAGGATGTTTTTGGGAGTCCAAAATCATTTCCCCCGGTAGCCTTAGCGCAGTACCAAATACTAGTTCTGCCGGGCAGCATCCAAGGTCTTCTTTCACAGTGCTCCTAATAGATAGGAGGATGATGGGAAGACGTTCTGCCCAATTAACGCCGGCCGAAGTAGCAACGATGGCGGACTTAAGCTGTCGATGAAAACGCTCGACTAAGCCGTTGCTTTCTGGGTGATAGGCGGTGGTGCGTATGCGTATGGTTTAACTGCCAGTAATTAGTCGTAATGCTTGGTTGTGTGCCTTCTCGAGTGGTTTGAGAGTCACCTCCGTGGCTGTAATGAGTGGCTCACAGCAATACAACATTATTGGCTGAATAAACATCTTGTAAGTGGTGTTTAGAGTTGAGTGCGCACAGCCCCATACGCTACCAGCAAGACGCTTCAGTACATTCAGTCTATTGGAGACTCGTTCTGCTATTTTAGTAATGTGACTTTTCCACGTTAGCTTTGTGTCAAAAGTCATTCCGAGATAAGTGAACTCATTGGTTTTTCCCATGGTAGTGTCCTTGTACCTTAGAAGCGGGTTTATGCTGTGATGGGCCAAAGAAAAAGTTTGGAATGCAGTTTTTGCAGTGTTGATTACCATTCCATTGTTGTCGCACCAGTTTGCTAGTAGTTTAAGTGCACTATTAAGAGCACTTTCTGTCCTCTCCTGAGCGTTTTTCTTAGGGGCAGAATACCATAGAACAAGATCATCTGCATAAAGTAAGCACTTGATTCGCGTGACTGTCTGTACCAATTCTGCTGTCATTGATGAAGACATTGAAAAGAGTGCAGCTTGTGACAGCTCCCTGTGGAAGACCTGTTTGTAAAAGATTGGATTTTGATAGAGCATTTCTGTATCTGACTTTACACGATCTTTGTCCAATGAATGCTTTTATCCAGTTTTGCATGTTATGCTTAATACCAATCTTTGCCAATTTTAGAATTAGCTTCTCTTTCCATACTAAGTCATATGCTGATTTGAAATCGACGAAAACAGCCGTAAGGGTATTTCTTGCATCAAGGGCATCTTTGATGCGTTGGGAGAAAGTGGCTACTTGTTGGTTCGTTGATCTTTGTGGC